AGATAGATAGATAGATAGATAGATAGATAGATAGATAGATAGATAGATAGATAGATAGATAGATAGATCTTCCACTTCTGTTGATCTTGACCTTAGCTGGTCCCTCACAACAACCCTGTGAGATAGGCTGGGTCCAATTATTCCCATTTTACAGATGAGGGAAGCTAAATTGAGAAATGCCCCCATTTTCCTGGTGTTCTCAACATTATCAACAACAACATATGGCTGCCACTAAACCAGAGATGCAATGAATTGCTTCTGTCCAGTTGACACTGGAGACTGTAAGGGCTGAAACAGGTGAGGGAGGAGCTAGCACTGCTTCGGTGAGTCAGAACTCTTGGACCAACTCTGAGCAGGCGTCGCCTAATCTCAAGGCTGGGAAAGGAATGGACATGCGTTCACTGACTGAAAAGTGTAGGATAAAAAGCCTAATTTACACCTTAAAACTGGCAGATGCTGTATGTTGGGCTAGTTTTATGTGTTCTGCAATAGTTAGCTCTTCTGTGTAAATACCAGTTCTTGTTTGCAATAAAACAACTTTTCTAAGCTGTATTGAGTCAATGAAGCTTCTGCTAGCTACTGAATGGAAGGTTAAGTTCCCAAAGAGACAAGGGTTACAGCTGCGTTTGGTGCGAAGCTTGATAAAGGCCGCTGAGAGAGGAAAGAAATCACTGTTAAGATTTGATGATTTGGTGACGAACTTCAGCAGGTTGAGCCCGGGCTATTCTTTAGCCTGCAGGTTTACTTATGCACCCCATTTAATCTTTGTCTTTGTGCAGAGGACAAGCAGATGCTTGTGAGAAGGTCATAAGCAGGCCAAGAATACTGTTTTGCCCTTTATGCTTCTTAATACCTAGGACTGAGGGACATAATGCCCCCATTAGGGAGGTAATATAGTTCTCCTGGCATAAATTGGTCTAATTCCCTTTTAAAACAATTGAAGTTGGCAGCCATTACTGCCTCTTATCCTGCAATCTTGCAGACTAGGAATTCTCACTTTCTATCTTTAGTGATAAAAACGTCAAACCAATTTTCTACTAGCTTCGTCCTTGTATAGGGCAGCCTGGGATTAGCAAACGGACATAGCAAGAACTTGGGCCTGGCTGGTGGGCCTCTGATCATGTCCAATAAGACTAAAAGTTTCTCACCTTTTTGGAAAAGGCAATGGAGTTTAAGGCAGAGAGCAAGCGGAGGGAGACTTTGTGTTTTTTCTCCCCTGTATCTGGTTTTGATTGTGAGTTCTGCAACTCTGTACCTTCTTTAGGTTGTGCCGTATTAATCCCAACTTTATTCACAGACGTAATTAATTTGGAAAGATTTAAGCTGTTTTGGTGTCTACTCAGGCATGTTCTATATTCCAAAGGGGAGAGAAAGGGGTACTTTCTAGCACCATGCCTTCAAACCACACTGCTAAGGTGTTATTTCCCCACCAGTTATCAGTCTAATTTGTTGACTCCAATTTAGCAGAAGATATTAAGGGGGACTTACATATTCACACGTGTCACTTAAAAGAAGTGCCCCAGCGTAGTCTTCTCCTTGAAACCCAGGGGAGGTGGGGGACTAGCTGTATTAGTTACCTCATGTTCCAATATGCAATCAAACTGTGTGGCCTCCTTCATTAACCTTGGAGGAATAGAATCCAAGATGAATGCATCATATACTACCTCTGCACTGTAGATCAAGGAAAGGCAATGTGCCCCCCCCCAAAACTGTTGGATTTCAGCTTTCATCTGCTATATCTGCCACAGAAACGGGAAAGAATTATGGGGAGTTGCCACTGAAAACTTCTGAAGGGCACAAAGCTGTCTGCCCTTACCACACAACGCACATATGGAGCAGTGATATTTGTCATGGAGTCAAGAATTATTGAACCTGATGACTTCTCTTCTATGAATCTTATTCATGCAAAGGAAAAGGATGTCAAAAGATCAGGACATCTTGAAGACTTCCAGTGAGGCAGGGTGAACTGAAGACATCCCTGAAAAATGGGAACATTACGGCTGAAACTCAAGGTTGAATGCAGGAGCCAAGCCAGTGAAATCTCTCCAGAGAAAGGAGAGACCTTGAGATTGCCCACACGCACTCCAGACAGCTACTCCTCACGAGTAAACTGCAGAAACCATTGTTTTTGCAATCAGCTGGTGAGTGGCTGGGAATCAAGAGAAAATTCCATCATAGTCTTAATGTAGCTTTTTTGGACTCAAAGTTCAGCCAATCCTCTTTTCTTAATCACTTTGGAATTAATTTTTTTTATTGCTTTTTAAATATTGAGAATCTCCAGAAATGGCAAGTTCTTTGGTTTTCACTGGGTGAGTTTCCTTCAACCTTTACAAAAGAATTTTAAGTATGAGCTTAAGGATTTATAAAAAAATTGTTTTTTGGGCAATAGCAAAAAGGTGATTTGAGTGTTGTTTTCAGAAAGTCATAAACAGACTAAGAGTCCAGATGGATTTAATATAAATGGATTTAAATTAAGGATAAGAATCCTTCCCATGGGAAACCAGATATATTTTTGCATTTGGAATAAAAATAACAAGATGGGACTTTGAAGGTTGGACACTAGAGGGCTCCAGAAGCAAATAAAACAATGGATGTACAGGTAGTCCTCAGTTAATGACAATTGGGACTGGAATTTAGGTCACTAAGCAATGCAGTCATTAAGCAAATCACATGGTCATTCAGTGAATCACAGTATCCCCATTGATTTTGTTTGCCAGAAGCCAGCTGGGAAAGTTGCAAATGGCGATCACATGACCCCAGGATGCTGCAACCGTTGTAACTGCAACTGGTGGCCAAGCGCTTGGATTGTAATCACATGACCGCAGGGATGCTGTGACAGTCGTAACTTCAGGCACCAGCTGTCACTTTTTTAGCACTGTTGTAACTTTGAATGGTCACTAAACAAATGGTCATTAAGCAAGGACTACCTGTATTGACAGATATGCGTGAACAAATAACTCAGAAATTACTTTTTAGGATTTCTGCCCTTATTGATAAAATAGATGATGCTGTGGACGAGGAACAAGTTCTACAGGGCAAGAATGAAAATGATTTAAATCAAATCAAATCAAATCTTTATTATGGTCATAGACCAGCATAGGAAAATGATTCAAATATGGACTTAAATCTAAGGTTTTGTTTTATAGATAAGAGTTTACAAGGGAAAGAGGTTATTTGTTACATTTTACATTTAATTGATTGAGGTTAAAATAGTTATGCTGTTTTCTCTGGTAACTTTTATTGGATTTTTACTGATTGTATTTGAATGATGAGGCTTGGGGGATTTGTTTAAAAAATAGAAAATCAAATATAAATGTAAAAGGAAGGAATTCAAGTGGGATTATTAGATTAAGATTATAATAGATATGTGGTTATGTCTGGAAACCCTTAATTGGCTTTTGCTGATTAGAATAGATGGTGATGTTTTGAAGATTTGTTTATAGAGGAAGAGGTGAGATGGAGTGAGGAGATGGTTGTACTTGAAGAAATGGTGATAAGTTGTTAAAATTGTTTATTCTTGCTGGGTTGGAGGGGGAAGTTACTTTTTTTTTCTTTTTTAAAATATTTTTCTCTTCCCTGCACCTTTTACCTTTTTTCTTTTTTATAGTTTGTATTAGTTTTATCTGTATAATGTAATCTCTAATAAAATTATTTTAAAAAATCAGGACATCTCATAGGACAGTCTCATTAGGGTCTTCATAAGGTCAAGTTATATAGAGAACTGTGGTCAATCCACTGAGCAGTGTTTGGGGAACTGCATTATGTTGATTTCACAACAGTTTAGGTGGCCAGATTCAGAAAGAATAAGAGCAAGGGAGTATTTGCTTTAACCCAAGGATGAACTCTACTGAGAAATTCTGGCTACCAGCACATTGTGGTATCAGTTGGTATAATCTTGGATTATACATATTTCTGTTTTCCAGTCAATGATGAAGTTTGAAAACAGGAGGTGAAGTCTGAAAGCAGAATCCAAAGGATGTTTATGTCAGATGAGACCAAAGATTCTCTTACGCTCAACCTACTACAGATTGCAGGGCATGCCAGAATCAGAAATATTGGACTTCCCCTCATGAAAACAAGGACATCCAGGCAGCACCAAGAATGGTTTTATAAATAAACTGCTTCTAAGCCCTACCAGGCCAAAAGGCTGATAGTACAAAGGTCCTCTGGTGAGCCTGGAAGAAAAGTAATCTGGGCAATGAGATGCATTGGACAACTCCCACAAGCCCAACAGGCAGCGTATTTGGAGTTGCGTCCTGCTGACTGTAAAAAAAAATCACTGGGAAGGTGAAGGCAACAGCACTATTTTCCAGACCATGTCTAACTAACTCAAAGGACACTTTGGCAGCAGGCCCTGATCACACACAGGTAAGACAAGCTCCTGAACTAAGTTTCACTCTAGCTTTTGCTTTTCTAGCTGAGTAGGCTCTCAGAAATCATCCTTGTATCTTGTTGTAAATACTTCCTTATCCTTCCACTACCAGAAGCACATTGTAGAATTGCTTTTGTATCCTTAGCCTCTTTACCTTCTCCATCAGACTGGAATTAAATTTCTCTGAACATAGAGGAAAAACCCCCACAATACTTGGCTAGTTTGAGTTCACAATACCTAGCAACAAGCAGCTGTCTGAAAAGTGGGGAGCATTTGTGAGACCCCCTCCACTGTTCATGTATCTGTACCCAACCACCCTGAAAATATTTTACACGAAATGGTTACATGGTTCTACTTGATGCACTCCTTCCTGTTATAATTCTTGTATGAAACAATGCAACACCTTCTTCTTTATGTTTTCCCCTCTTGTCCATTCTAGGACAACAGGCTGGTCATTGGTTGCCACAAGGACTAGCTATCTAGTCCACGAGACCATGGTCTAGCAGGCTACAAATCCAAGCAAGACCTTCAAGAAGATGGCAGCCTTCCTTTTTATTTTGTCATAACGTCTAGAGACGCAAGAACAAGCAGTCTTGTTATTGTCATTGACAGGTCGATACATTCAAGCCCAGGATGATCTATTCAGTTTCCACCAGAGTTCCAAAGCCTGCTATCATCTCAGGAACATCATTTGATTGGCTTTGAACAAATCCATGTGATTTGCTGGAAGGGGAAGCACAAGCTCAAAATGACAAAGGGAAGGACAAGCCTCACTGTCATTTCAGAGGCTGCGTAACAGTCCATTTGCCTCATCTTAACGAGAAGAACATGGAAGGTGATACCTCTGACCTCCATTTACACACCTTAAAAATTATGTGAGAGGAAGCCTCTTTGAACCTGGGAGACATACGGAGGCTCTTCTGAGGTACATCACTTCACAGCCTACCACTGCCCAGACCCTGATCCAGGCCCCACCACTTGTGTTTTCTCATAGCTTTGTGTACAAAACACCAGGGACGTGAATACTTAAAAGCCTCTCGTAGAAAACTCCAGCGATAGCCCTGGACTCAATCGGGGATAGGGTGGCAAAGTTTTCTTTTCAAAATAATGGTGATAATAAAACATTTAGTTGCCTCCCTGCAGGATGTGATCAGGCTAACCCCATCCACCCTGCCACAGTCCACTGGTATGGCTGCCCTCATCCACATGGCACACTTCCTTGCCGCGGCCGGTGTCACCTAAATGCTAGCGGTCAGGTTGCTGCACACAAAACACCTTGGCCTGGTGATCACCAGAAGTAGTAACCACAAGCGAAGCATCTCTGCAAGAAAAAAAGAAATGATTAAAATATGTGCGTACACACACACACACATTTCCAAAATGTTTAAACCAAACCAAAAGGAAAAAGGAGATATGCAAAAAATACCACCATACTGCAAGTAAAGAATTAAATTAAAATATGCTAAGAAAAGAGAAGCAGGCTCATGCTATCATTTCTGCTGTGACCCCAGCTGTTTTAGGCCCTTCCTTAACTATCAGCTAGCAGGAACTCTTCTATCAAATGATACAAACTATTTCCATCCCAGCTGATAATATAAACACTGCTATTTTTAAGAATCAGCTTATTTATCTCCTCCTCCGTCACATTTTTGTAAATCGAAAGGCAAGGGCTATCTTAGTGCCAATATTTATAAGCACTTCTGGGAGATTCTTTGACTAAAGCAGTGATGGCGAACCTATGACATGCGTGTCAAAGGTGACATGCCACAGCATTTTGGATGACACGCCAGCTTTCACCAACACCCCATAACTATTCCCCCTGTTTGAGTTGCCAAGGAAACTGAGTTTGTTTTACTCGTATTTCATTTTTGTAATTATTTGATGTTTCTTTATATAATACATAGCTCCACACGTGATTGGACTACATTTTTTTTAAATAAATGAGTATGTAAAGAACTGTTTCTCTTTTGTTCAGGGGTGGGGGGGGGGGGTGACATGCCAGCAGTGCTAAGTTAGGCTGTATCTGAATATTTGACACACTAAGCCCAAAAGGTTCGCCATCACGGAACTAAAGGATAGTATTCCCCCTGTTTGAGTTGCCAAGGAAACTGAGTTTGTTTTACTCGTATTTCATTTTTGTAATTATTTGATGTTTCTTTATATAATACATAGCTCCACACGTGATTGGACTACATTTTTTTTAAATAAATGAGTATGTAAAGAACTGTTTCTCTTTTGTTCAGGGGTGGGGGGGGGGGGTGACATGCCAGCAGAGCCAAGTTAGGCATTTTCTGAATTTTTGACACACTAAGCCCAAAAGGTTCGCCATCACGGAACTAAAGGATAGGGCAAAAATGTTTTGAATGAGTGTGTTTTTAAAAATCAATACTTAGAAGCAGAAATGTAGCAGCAGTCCCCAGAAATAACCAGGAAAATTTCCTCAACTAAGATTCACCAAATACATTAATATAAAAAAGTCCTTTAAAATATTAACCAATAAGCAACCACATAGTCATTTATAAGCTCGATCCTATCTATGTTTATCTATCCAATGGATTTCAGCAGGGTTTATTCCCAAGTAGATGTGCAATTCATCTTCATAACACCAGTGTGGGTAAAAAAACAATCACACAGTAGAAATAACAAGCTGAAAGATCAAAAAGTCAAGCTTCGGAGGCCCCATACTAAGCCTATGACGGAGTCCTTGGGGTTCTCTGAGCTTGGTTGTTTTCTTGCAAATGTTTCGTTACCCAACTAGGTAACATCACTGAAGATGTTACCTAGCCGGGTAATGAAATGTCTGCAAGAAAACAGCCAAGCTCAGAGAACCCCAAGGACTTCACAATGCAACCCTGAGCTACATATATTCTCTTCTATTGGTAAGCCTATGACGCTGACAGATCATCCATTTTATTTTCCTGCTCTTGCCATTACTCAGAGCCTGTGGTGTAGTAATTAAGGTGTTGGACTGGCCCCAGAGAGACCTGGGTTCTAGTTCATCCTCAGTCACAGATATTCACTGGGTGACTTTGGGCCAGTCACTCTCTTAGCCAAGCAGGTCATAGGATCGCTGTTGTGGGGGAAAAAATGGGAGGATGGACACCATGGATACTGCCGTGAGCACCTGAAGAAAACATGGGATATAAATCTAACAAATAAATGATGAGAACCACCAAAGACAAAAATGAGGAGGGAACTGGGAAGATGAAAACTATGTTACCTATGCAGAGCATCACTCTGGAAACAGTATGCCTCTTCTTCCCACTCAACCCAATTCTTGAATATCCCAACCTGCTACACATTTCAGTTTGAGCCCATTTCCCTACTTACCCTATAATCCTGTCATGAGATTCCAGTGCCCCATATACTGGGGTAAAGATGTAACTGTATCACTCAACCTAACCTTGAGTTAGCCTAGCTTTCTACCTCTCCTTCTTTCATTTTCTCCCTACACCAGCATCTTCCCATCTAAATAGCTCTTGCTTGAGGTACTTACTTGTTCAAAGCAAAGTCTAAGATTTCAGCTGAGTGGCCCCTGTATTCGCTAATCAGTTTGCCCGAGCGTGCATCCCAGAGGCTCACAGCCCCATCCAGACTACAAGTATAGACCACAGGTGAACTTTCTTCCCAAAGGAGCTGCACAATACCTGACTGTAAATGGAGATGGAAAAGGCATTAGTAGCATTCCCATGCTCTTGGCATGAATCCAGGAGAATCCATCATATTCTCTTTTGATCACCCGCTCCTCAAGAGACCATCACCGAACCCAGCATCCTGAAAAACTTCCATCTAGTCTCCAACCTTTCCTTTCCAGGGAAGGTCGTGGAGAGGATAACTCAGCTTCAGCTCCAGAGGACCCTGGAGAAAGTGACTGCACTTGGTTCAACTGAGTTTCAGGCCAAAGTTCAGTATGGAGACAGTACTCGTCATGCTTGGCAATGACCTGTGGTGGAGCTGGTATGGGAGTGGAGCATCCATCCTGGTACTCCTTGATCTCTCAGTGGCTTTCAATACTGTTGACCACAGAATCTTATTGGGCTGGCTTTGGGGGTTGGGGGTGGGAGGTGCTTGTGGTGGTTCTTCTCCTTTCTCTGTGGCTAGCTTCAATTCACCCTCTCACAGAGCGTGACAAGTCATGCCTATGGAACCTCACTTGTGGGGTGCCACAGGGCTCAACTGTCTTCCCTTTTAACATCTGCATGAAACCACTGGGTGAGGTAATCTATCTGTTTGGGGTCAGGTATCATCAATATGCTGAAGATACCCAATTTTACACCTCAAGCCTGACCAATCAAGTGATGCTGCTGAAATCCTGACCCAGTGCCTAGAGGCTGTGTGGGCCTGGATGGGGTGGAACAGACTCAAGCTGAATCCTGACAAGACCAAGTGGCTTTGTTTGTCTGACCCCACTGATTCAGGGGACATTCCACCTCTAGTCTTTAATAGGGTTGCACTTCCCCATAAAAGACTAGGGCACAATCTGGGGATCTTCTTGGACTCACAGCTCCTGCTCAAAAGCAGGTAGCAGCTGTGCCCAAGAGGGCTTTTGCACAGGTTTATATGATGCACTAGTTGTGCCCGTTTGTGGACCAGGAAGCTCCTCAGGCAATCACTCCTGCCTTGGTCACCTCCTGATTGGACTACTGTAATGTACTCTACACAGGTCTGTTCTTGAAGATCAGCTGGAAGCTACAGCTGGTCCAGAAGTAGTGGTGTGGACAGTGACCGGCATGCCTCATTATATTCATGTGACCTGCACTAGTTATTGGTTGCCTTCTGAGTGAATTCAAGGTGTTGATTATTACCTATCAAGCCCTTCATGACATAGGGCCTGACTACTTGAGGGACCACCTATCTCCATCTCTTTCTGCCTGTCCAGTGGTTGGCTAGAGTGGCATGCTTCAGATCCCAATGATTAAGCAGCGTCACCTTGGGGGACCCAGGAAGTGTGCCTTCTTAGTGATGGCTCCTGTCCTGTGGAATGATAACTTCCTCAGAGATCCATACTGCTCCCACCTTCTGAATTTATGCAAATTGTTAAAGACCTGGTTGTTTTGCCAGGCCTTGGGCTAGGATGGTGGTTGAGCCCCTTTGAGTTTTGGTTTTCTTTTCCAGTCAGCTGTATTCTTTTTCTTTGATATATGTTGCTTTCTTTGAAATTTTTTAATTGTAAGCCACCAAGAGTCACTATGGAGTTGAGCAGCCATGAATGAATGAATGAATGAATGAATGAATGAATGAATGAATGAATGAATGAATGAATGAATGAAATCTCTCTCCCTACCCTGGTAAGAGTGTGTGTATGCACACATGTTTATAGATTGCCTAATAAGCAAAATGGCTGGGCACCATGCCTGGCCTATAAACACAGGGCATGCCAAAATCAAGGTTGGCATGGCAGAACGATACTAATTACATAAAATGGGAACACGTATACTCAAACAGGAGCAAAGGCATGACATTATGACCACAGAAATTAACAGCTTGCAAATATGTGTACTAACTGCTGGGGGCTGGGAGAGGCAAACAAGGAAGAGATCCATCTCTTCTGCCTGTGTACAGTATGCCTATGCTGGATGCCAAGTTTGAATTCTCTTTGCCAGCAGCCTGCTTGCTTTCCATGTGGCACACAGGAGAAGGAGGGAGCATGCCATTCCTTCCCTGCCAGTCTGCTCCCTTGTTTCCATGGAGTTCATTCTAACCAGTGCTTCCAGGCAAGGGTTTAACTACAAGGTTGGCAATTTCAAAATGTAAACTCTGCAGTATTTGCTCTCCTGGAAGGCAAAAAGGACCAAATCACAATACAGTGGGGAAGATGACACAGAGCCAGAAGCAGAGGCAGATTTGCCAGGCATAGAGGCCAACTGATGAAGCCAATATGCCCTCAACTGTTGCAACTAATACACAAAACCCTCCTCCTAAACACAGCATTTTTCAGATGCAGTATTATCTTTTCTCTCTATTGAAAAGGAGGAAAAAAAAGTGCTAGAACATTTGTCTTTCAGTTCCTTCCTCTAGAACATTAACCTGGAATAGCACCCTGGCGCTTCCCCGGGGCCAGGAAATCATGAGAAGCAGCAGTAGCTCCTGAGAAGAGCGTGCTTCCTGGGCCAGAATGCCTCTGGCCAATATCTTCCTTCCTAGTGTGCCCCCTGGTGATCACAACATGCTCCGTTACCTCATGCTGGCACTTATGTCTCAGAGTCTGCGTAGCAAGGTCATAAATAGCCAAGGTCCCATCCAAATAGCCAATAGCTGCCAATGGCATCCTGCAACAGGAAAGCCAAAGAGAAGGACTTTTACTGGAAATTGCTTTGCCCAGTTTTGTAGGAAAGGTAGTAAGATTAAATAAGTCATCAGAGTATTATTCCCGCCTAGCATGCTAAAGAGCTCCTGGGCTCATCCACACAGGCCGGCACCAAGAATTCACCTGGCTTTCTCTCCTTTGGAAAATGAAACCATGCAGTGATCGCTAGAAAAGCATGTTGTTTGGGTTGGTTCACACCATCATTCCTCCCTTCCTGGAAGCTGAGATATATATCGTATGATTTTGGCTTTCAGGAACCTTGCCTGCTCTGCAGCTGACTTGCACAAGTGCAGAACGGGTTACAGGCCACACAGATCATCCTCCCATGGTCCTTCCTTAATTGCTGTCTGATTGATGATGGTTAGAGATGACTTGGCCAGGTTGAGGATGGCTGGTTCAAAACAAGGTACTAGCCCTTATGAGTGGAAATGGTTTTGAAATCATGTGGGTAATGCCAAATAGAAGCCAATTAACAATTAAGATCTCATGGCATAGTGGCATCTAGGCCACATGCGCTAGATTATATTGCAGGCAGGTGTTCCTTTCGTTCTCTTCGTGTGATCAACTCCCAGTAGTTTCTAAAAGCCAAACAGGAACTGAGTAATTTTTTTCTGGAGTCAGAAAGAAATAAGGTCCTAGCATCTGGTCAGTATCACTGAAGGCAAAGCAAAACAAAACAAAAATTATATATCCTGGTTTTAAATTTAAATTCCATTCATCTTTGTGGCCCACATCCAGAAGAATACCCATCATGAAGATCTGGGAAGGAGACCTAGAACCTCAGCCAAGTGGGAGAAGCAGTATGTCTTTCTAAGCCAAATTTACTGGCTATTTCTTTACTAAGCTCTTACTTACTGTATCTATGAACAAAACAATAGCCATCTGCACTAAACTCATAGTAACATCTCCTTTCCCCTTGAATACTTACACGCTGCAGAAACCCAAGGACTCCACTGAGTTGGATTCTGCCTCCTCTGCCTCTCCAGCTGAAGGCTTGCTCTCTGCCTTGAACACGGACACAACCTGCAGGAAAGAGGCAGCCAATATGGGCTTTTCTCTGCATTCAGGAACCAGAACATTATGACTGACATATTGCTGGAAGTACAGGCTGGAAGTATGCAGTGTGTAATAAAAATCAACAACCCTATACTCTTAGCCAAGAATGCAAAACAAAGGTCTGGAAAGCTCCACACCAATCATTAAGTCAGTAAGTTAAAACCTTGAAGAAAACTTGGGATAAATGTGTAGTTGTCAGCATTACTAAACAACCTTATCTAAATGGATGAAGCAGATGCTTTGCTCATCCAGACATCTAACAGGAAGGGGAAGGGAAGCACTCACCTTTCCAGTTGCAGCGTTTATCAGCTTGGCATGGCAGTCAACAGAACCTGTCAGGATTAGACTGCCATCCTTCTGGCTGGCCACACAAGTTAAAGGACCCTGGTGCCCATCATTACCTGGAAAGACAAAGATTACACATCCAATGAAGGAGAGGGCTGGGGTTTCCCTTTCCTTTTTCATGTGCTATCTTGGCTAACACCTTGATTCCCAAACTCCTGTTATCTGTGAACAGAAACACTACAATGCCATGTTAGTGATGCAAATTTACAAGAAATGCTTATCTATTAACTTCCTACTGTAACAGTTAAAATCTATGACTGCATCTCAAGGCCATGTTTTGTTGCACTCCTGGTAATTCCAACTTGCTGAACTATACAGAAATGGAAATCTGAACAGGTTGCACAATGAAATATATTTTAACTGACCAGCCCCATCAATATCTTTGAATTCTGTATCTCCTTGAAAACCTGTATCCTGCCTTCAGTATTCTTCAGAAGGAGGAGCTATGAAAAGAGATTCTTCTGTGAAGCTTACCCTACTCTCCAGGAAGATCTAAAACAGTAGAAATGGCAAAAGACACAATTCTTTAAGCAGAGGCGAGATGACCAGGATACAGGTATTATGCCCCAGTGGGATGGAGGTTCAACCAGATGACTTCTAAAGGTCCCCTTCCATGTAATATTTGGTACCTTTCAGAACATGCAGTGAGTTGCCCTGCTTCAGATCCCAAATGCGCACTGTTCCATCTTCATAGCCAACAACAGCTCTTTTCCCTGCATGAAGCATCTTTGTGTTAGTCATTCTCTGGCGTATCCAGGCAAATTTAATTTCAAAAAGGCCCCAAAGACTTTTGCGCCCGTATTCCAAAATTCCAAACAATCCCATGCTGTTCCTCATTGTGAAAGGAAATAGAGGATGTGTTTGGAAGTGCAAAGCAATGGGGCAGTCCCATCCCTGAAGCAATTCTAACAGCAAAAACAATACTCCTCACCGTCAGGAAGGACGTGGCCACATGTAGCTGGGCAGTTTGGCCCTTGAAAGGTCTTGCACTCTCCGCCAGGGATCTTCCACATCCAGCAGTTGCCATCAGCTGTGCCAGCCAGAAGGACATGGGACTGGGGGTGCCACTCCATCCACTGGAAGAAGCAAGCAAGCAACAGGCTGGAAAATGAACAAAGCTGGAAAGAAGATGGCTGTTTGTCCAGTTGATCAAACAAACTCTTCACCCATTTCACTTATGCCATGATTTATTTTAACCAGAATGTTTGAACACTCTACAGAGGTGGCTAGAGTCACACTTCATGCTAAACCATGAAAAACATAATGCTTGGGTTCATGTATGCTAAGTCAAAGCAAAACACACACGTTATATACACCATGGCTTAGTGCAAAGTATGAACTCTGTCAATGTTCCTACATTAGGAATATTTATTCATACATTTAACTATCATACATTTAACTATGAGCTAAGACCTAAGCATATCACTAAAAACTATAATATCTGGGATTTAAATAGCATCTTAGAGAACTACAAGCTTCCTAAAGATCACCTAGGACATTCATAGTCACTCAAGGGGCACTTATATTAGAATACATAACATCTAAATTATCACAGTTTATTATTAAGAACCATTCAGTAGAAAGAGGCTTGAAATAAGTCAGGTTTCTAAATTTGCTCAGAGAGCTTCACTGGATGCTGGAGGTAGTGGTGGGAAATGCAGAGGTTACATGCTCATCCCTCCTTTCTTCCCTCACACGCAGTGACAATTTTCTTTTGGATGACTGATCTCATCTAATTCTGAAAAGGTCACATTTTATACTTCCCAATCATCAAGCAAGGAAAGTGATCTTCTTCAATAAAGAGAAAAGACCATATAGCAGCAGCTTCTTGAATATATCATTTCAATCAAGAGTATGATTTTGCACCCATCACCACACTATGGTCTTTTAAGTTCCCCAGCACCTTCTCTCAGTGCAGCTAGTCAGGGCAAGAGCAAACAATCTGTTCTGATGTTTTGCCTTCCTACTCTGTCTGGAAGCTGCAGAGAGCATAGCCAGGGATAATCTGATTTCGCAAGTATGAGAGGGGACCAATTCTTTGGACTTTTAAAACATATTTTCCACTTTGGAGAGGTTTTAAGGAGTGGCATTGATGCCTCAAGCATTGCAGAAGTTTAGGCATCTATACTGTCCCCAAAGTATCTCCCCACTGGGGGCAGGAGTTGGAGGATTTTAAAGGGTGCTTTGGATGTCTTAAGCCTCTAGGTGGCTTACAACTGGTTTTGCTCCTTAAAGCCCCTCATCAGTGAAAAAGAGGATAAAATATTCACAACTCTAACAAAACGATGTGGGCCAAAAAAGGGGTGCTACTGCTCCACATGCAGTCATGGATTACCCACCCCTAGGGGCAATGCCACCATAGTTTATCAGGTTTGTTATGCTCTCCACTGGGAAAGTCAGTTGTCTTTTTCAGGCAGTTTTTGCCATGGAACTCACAGGCTTACCTCCAAGTCACCCACTTCAAAAGACCAAATCTCTTCTTTGGTGTCAACTTGCCAGACTTTAATGAGTCCACTCATGTCACCCGTGGCCACAAAAGTGGAATCATAACTGAAACCAACACAAGTGACAGAATCTTTGTGACCTAGAGAGAGTGGGAAGAAAATGATCACGTTTTGGAGCAGACAGGTTTTAGAGATACCAAATTGAGGAAGACTGGTTTGCAATGGCAAACAGCTGAAAGACGGAGGTGAATCGGGACTTAATTTAAGCTTTAGCAAAACAATTTCTTGTCCCACAATTCCAGAATGTCCAGCTGGTGTCTCCTCATTCCATCAATGACTATCCTACTTTCCATTTGTATGTTGGCTAGAAGTGGAATTCCACTTCTAGTATCTTGGATGGCTTTAAAAGGCAATTAGATAAATTCAGTGAGGACAGGTCTATCACATGCTATCAGTCTTGAAGATTCAAAACTACTTCTGGATGGGGGGTCGGGGACAATGGCTGAAAACTGATATTTCCTGCTTGTGGTCACTGCAGAGGCATCTGGTTGGCCACAAGAAACAAATGCTGAACTAAGATGGGCTTTATGTTCTTTCCATGTTGTATGTGGTATAAGACTGCAACCAAAGCTGCAACAGGAAATACTTGGCTGAAACCTTATTTTATCCGCGTCAACAATTCCTGTGGAAAATTTTAGCTTTTGTCACACACTCATATTTATATAGTCCACTACGTTCTCCCAAAACTTAGTAACTATAGCACATTGTAAAAACATGTGTTTTAAAGAAGCATTATCCTTATTACATCTCCAACAAAATGCTGTCTTAGACAGTCCCTTTCTGTACAAATGTAACGGAGTCCAATGAATTGCCCTCATCAGACACACTTGCAATATCAGGATAACAGCACTGAAAAGTACAGTACCATGTACTGTTGTACATGGTAAAATAAGATAATAAATGGCGCATATGAGGTGGCTTCGATTAAACATTGTCATCTCTCAGGATCCTGGAAATGCGCCTTCTGTGTAGCAGCACCTGCCCTCTGGAACGAGGTTCCCTCCAAGATCCAGATGGCCCCCACTCTGCTGTTGCTTAGAAGAGCATCCATGCCTTCAGCGAGGAAGAGTGAGACTCCTCACTTCATCATGCTTGCCATCTTTTTTCCTTTGCTACGTTCTATTGTAATTTCTTTGATTGTTGTGAGCTGCCCAGCATCACTGAGAGCTGGCTGGCACACAAGTGTAATTCATTAATTAATTTCACTAAGCCATAATGTGGTTTAGTTTTGGCTTCACAAGTTGTATAAAGCTAGCCATTAAAATGGTTTAGTGCAATGTGTGAATCAGATCAATGTACTAGACTTAAAGCATTATATAAACAGTAATGTTAATAATATGGGTATTCATATTACGCCTAATAATACTATCCTCCCCTGTTTCAGCTTAATAAACTATATGATATGTGTGTATATGCATGTGTGTATAAATGCAATAGGGCCACTATGAGCTATATTCTTACTGCATAATCTATCTTTCCACAAACTGCACCCTTCAGATATGTAGGGTTATCCCTTCTTCAGGCTCAGGCACCTGCTGGCCAGGATCCCTGCAAATTATAGAAACAGCAACCCCACACATCTAGGGGATACAACACTGGGAAAAACTGGAGCAACCATTCACACGTGGTCCCCTGTAGCTAGTGTCTTGAATGCCAAAAGCAAAAATGAGGTGGGAGAAATTAATCCAGCTTAGAAATATGGCAGATGGCTTTTCTTTTGATGTTTTGCCATCAAAAGGCATACAGGCCAAGAGAAGTACCCAGAAGTATGTTTGCTGAACCTGTAGTTTTTGCAAGCCTAACAATATGACAGAAGCTATCACCCATGGAAAGCAGGATTGCCAGCTTTGGCATGTCTCACCTGTGCACTCAAAAAGGAGCTCGCCATCACTGACACGCCACACAAAGGCCTTGTCATCTTCACCACCTGTCACGGCCAGCGTGTTGGTCTTTGGGTCAAGACTGACACAGAAAACTGACGCTGGGGAGAATTAACAGAACAATGTTAATAGAAGAAATCTCTGCAAACCTCATAAACATATATAGTCAATGACTTAAGAACAATCAAATAAATGAAAGCCAGAGACCAGGAGAGGACACTGGTCCTCACCCAGCTCATGCTATCTTAAGACTTTAGCTTGTCTGTTTAAAGCTAGAACTGGATTTGTCCTTGGGAAAACTTCCAAACAGAAACCCAGCAAAATACTATATAAATAAGCCAGCTTTTTTTTTTTTTTGCTTCAAACATCCAGCAGTACTTAAAGAAAAGCAAGATAGAAAGTTGACATAGTTCCTCTTCATGTGTTAAGCTATTCTACAGGAGATCTCACATGCTTTGTTGCTAAGGAACAGCTGGCCATTTACGACAAATGTTATTTCCAGCTTAGAAAACGAAACAGCACAATTCACATTACCACTGGTTATTTTAAACGGCCAAGATGGAATTCTAGAGTAGAACGTGAGCAGATTAGCCAGTGGCCTGATTCACACATCACACCGAGCCACCATGTAATTTGTTCGGTTTTAGCTTAGCCTTTGTGGTTTGTAACCTATAGATCATTATTGCCAACAGCTCTGTGTATGCCGATGAGAGAGGGAGAAAGGCAAGAGAAAACCACCATAGATATCTCTTCCCTGGCATATCAAAAGACTATTAACCACCAACTATTCTGTGAGAAAAATCCTAAAAGATTGTTGTTCCTTGATTTTTGCAAAATGTTTATTGCACTTTAATTTATAATTGTTTATATTGATTGTGAGTCTGAGAGGTTTCTCTTAAACTGTGGATGGAAGGAATTATAATAAATAACAGTTGGCCCATTAACAGGCACTGATAGAAGTCAGTGATAAACGAGTGATCCATATCATACCTGAATTAAATCTTTACCAGCCAGGATAATTGTGCTAGCGACAAATGCTCAGTGGCCATCACACTGCACATATATATATATATATAACAAAAATCATGGTGTCTATGCTGTACACACAGCAATCCCTCCATACGTGGCTGAAGAGACAGCGCAGAATGTGTCCATATGCATGTGTTTGGCTACCATAAACACTGGCAACAGAAGCAAAGTTGATACATACACATGCATAAGCACCCATCTTTTCAATTCATAGAGAGAGAGGTTCACCCCAAACCTCTTACTCAACACCCTCCGTGCCTTGGCAGTTCGTAACCAAAAGTGCAGACTCCTCCTAAGCTTCCAAATGACAAGACAAGGCATTCAAATTTGGGACAGCGAGTAACAAAGAAGACATCCCCCATCCCTTTAGCAGCTCACCTGTATGCTTAGAGAATGTGACCTCACTGTCATCTTGGGCCGCCATGCCTTCCTCCACCCCCTCATCTTCCTCCCAAGTAGATTCTCCTTCTAAATCTACATCTTCTATTTCATCAGCCAGATCATCTGCAGTGAAAGAAAAAGGCCGTTTTAAAATTACTCAACAGCAAATGCTTCATCCTTGGATTCATATGTGAAACAGATGTAGCAAGCTATCCGATCACTCTGTTGTCCCACTAATCCCTGTTTGATCTCTCACTAACCCCTTTAAGGAAGGTATAGCTCACAAGGCAGGTTGTCGGTTTCACTTAAAAAAACACAAGTCACAAATCTGCATCAGCAAACAGCAAATTACAAATATCCAAACCCTACTTCCATAATCCCTCCCACTCAAGGAGGCCTTGCTCCTCTCCCAGCACAAAGAATTTTAGACTGTAAGTCCTTGCAAACAAATACCTGTCTGTGCACTTCTGAAACACCACTAATAAAATTGTTACCACATGCTTTATAAAAGGTGGTATTTCCTATAAGAATACAATACAATCTAAACTGTAGCAACTGTAATCATCATCATCTTCCCTCTAAGAAAGGAACTCATAACACTAGTTCTCCTGATGTCAGGGGCAGTTTTTCTCCCCCCCAAACTTCTTTCAGGGCAGCTCAACTTTCTAGTCTCGTGCCTTGCGTCAGACCCTTGGTTTCCAGGGTCCTGCCCCGGTCGCTGTCTTTTCCCTTACCGGGTCCAGGAGGCTCAAGCTCCACCACCTCCACGATCTCCTCTGCATCCCCTTCCCCATCGCCGCCGGCCATGAGCAACAGCGCTTCCGTCGCCGGCTCTACTTCTTCCCCTTCTCCGGGCTCCGCCATGCTGACTCCCACCTCCCGCCGTCACCGGACACGCGGCTCCACCGTCCTGCTAGGGGCTCTCTTCCTTGCTCCCGCCCCCTGTGGCGGGGGAGGAGCTAAAGTACTGGTGCCAATCCCACGAAAGAATGAAAAAACACTAGCCAATCGGAGCTGCCAACACAGTCTCCCTCATTCGCTACTTTCACGTTCTAAATGATACGTCGATGTAATCCGCATCTGACGTATCTGGGAAGACACTTTGGCCTTTCACCGCCGTTCGTTCAAGGAAGCGAAGGGCGTCATGGGAGTTGGAGTTCCAGGTTCCTCCTCCCCGTAGTTTGCTACCCGGCAGACAGCAGAAGAGAGGTCCCAGGCAAGACGGAGTCTCTTTGCTTTCGGATGCTCGGTAGGAGAGGCGCGACCTTTGGGCGCCCGTGCAGGACTTTGTGGCGGAAAGAAGGGAGGTTGGCTCGGGCGAGCTAAGTGAGAAGGGTAATTGTTTCTCGAGAGAGGAGTATGATCAGGAAACAGACTCCACAAGTTTGACCGGAACTATTAATGTAGGCTATACAGGAACAGACCTTTGAAAGCCTGGTTGTGTTTTTCCTTCCCTCCCTCTTATGCCCCAGAGAGTCAGGGCGGTACCAGTCGGCGTCTCTTCCTAATGCTTCCCCTGTTTCCCAAGCTCAAAGCATGTTTTTGCACGTGTTGTGTTGTAACAGTTCCGAATAGTGCCTCCAAGGTCACCTTTCACTCCCTAGGTGTAGCCCGAGTGAAAAGGAGGCTTCCCCCTTGCTTAGTAGATTTTTAAAAAGTGCTTTTCAGAAGGACGGGCCTATATAGGCTTTGCCCATCTTTTCTGTCCTCACGTGGGAGGCAGGGTAGCTAAGGGAGAAAACGAAAAACGACTTGTTCACATAATGTAGCATGTTTGGCTTTGTGTATTTTGTGTGTATGTGAGAGAGAGAGATACCAGACACTGAGCTTTGGAAAACGGGAATGATGGCTTAGTCCGTTATGTGCATCCAGCCCCCTTGGGTTTATCATGGGTATAAACAAGCCATGACTCAGAGCAGCGTTTCTCAACCTTGGCAACTTTAAGATGTGTGGACTTCAAATCCCAGAATTCCCCAGCCAGCTACAGATATTCTCTTCTGTTGGAATACCCTATTTTGTTCCGTATGTAAAATACTGGACTTGTTTTTCAAAACTGGAAATGATTATTTATGGTGAGACATTCTACTTTGTGAGTTGTCAGGCAAGATAAAGTAGGTGGGTTGGACAAGGCTTTTGAGCTAGTAATAATTGTAAGAAAAGAGCTTAGCATGATTTGTCATGTCTATGCAATGACATATTTCCTTTGCAGGCTACCTTCCTGCCACTTTGACACAGTCTGCAGGCGTAATGGTGCCTTTTCGAATGTCCACTCAAGCTTTTCACAGTAGCCGAAGAGCTTTGGAAGAAATGCAGAAGAAAGTACAGCCTGGTGAACAAATGCATAGACATGTAGAATATATGGCCCCAAGAAGGTTCAAGACCTCTAAGAACCCAGTAGCTATCGCTTGGTGAGCATTGCATTTATCATTATTTCTGTGTTCCAAAGCAAGGTAGGCAACTCATAACCTCCTTCTGAGATTGCGTTAGCAGAATTCAGTGACAAATGGCCCAACTCTATTCATTAAAATATGGCCATTTGGCACTGAAGAAACACCATTATAATTTTGGAGAATTTTAAAGGTGGGAATAGAAGCGATTTGTCCATTGGAGGCTTCCTGTTCCCATTTCTACTCTGGAATCCATTCTCCATTTCAAAAAAAAAAAAAAAAAGAGTGACAAAATTTGGTTTAAC